TACAGTAGCACTATGGCATTTCAAGCTATTTTATTTTTATTGCTTAACACCAAACTCATCATACCAATCAGCCATACATGCAATTTCTGACACTTCTACATTGATATACCATATTAGGATTTTCTTGTGCAGTGTGACTGGAAGGAGTGATGTAGACTGTCCTGATCACACAAAACTAACTGCCAGGACGTATATTTTACACAGACTATCTACAGATGATCGCTTTGTTCAAACACCACCATCTTGTGCTGATCACAATATGCTACTTGGAAATAACATGTATAGCGACTTGATATGCACGATACATACGAGTACAACAACTATCCTTTCTAATCAGCCGTTCTTTTTTTTCCGATCAATATTGGCATAATTGATTCTTTCATAGTTTTTCAATCCAGTCGCAGGTCCGTGTTTACCATAGTTATGATAGCTTTGGGTTCGGGTTGGTACATGTCTATCTCAACCGTAGAGGTAAAACTGTAGCTAGAGAATTCCTAAAATATCATCATTTACCGTCCTGTGATTATGTATTTACATTCTCTATGAACACTACTGCTGTCTGCAGTGATACATTTTATTTTTTGAACCTGTTCACCATTATCACGCTTTGTCGTTTTGTGATCTGAAGGCCTCAAAGATTAACACAAAAATGTTGCATAGAGGAATTTGAATCATGTACTGTTGTAAACGAGAATCGATCTCGTGACTCAGCCACCAATCCTCATATTGGTTTGCAACACTAGCACTTCCATAATTACCCCTGGGCTTAGGATGTTGCTCTGCATTGTATTGTTTTCTTAGCTTTATTTAGCTCCAGCCTCATCTCTCAATATATTGGTACATCTTTTTCTTCTTTTTGCTGATAACATATCAATTTGAGAGAAAACAGCAGTGCTGTAAAATTGCTACAAAATCACACAAATATTTGCATAATAAATACTAATAAAATTGATCACACTATAATACCACATTTAACATTTTTATGGTACTATCATTTACAATTTTTTGATTATTTTTCTTATTGCCTGTCAAAAAGATGCAATATGGTCATCCAAACTACGGTGATTGGCGCTCATTCCCAGTCAACCACCGTATATAAATGTGTTGTTACGACAGAATATTTTTAATTAAATGCCGGTTTAGTAACAATTATGTCATGGCTCTACAACACGTGATATC